GACAGGGAGAGGGAGAGGGAGAGGGAGAGGGAGAGGGAGAGGGAGGGAGGGGAGGGAGGGAGGGAGGAGGAGAGGAGAGAGAGAGAGAGAGAGAGAGAGAGAGAGAGAGAGAGAGAGAGAGAGAGAGAGAGAGAGAGAGAGAGAGAGAGAGAGAGAAGAGAGAGAAGAGAGAAAGAAAGAGCGAGAGAAAAAGAGAGAGAAAGAAAGAAAGAGCGAGAACGAGAGAGAAAAAAAGAGAGAAAAGGAAGTTGTTTAGGTAATTGATCCCTCGCCCCTCCCTCCCCCCATCCTTCCTGCGATCAATCATCTCAGGGGCTATGGGCGCTCTTCGTCACGCGGGTAATGCGAGGCGGCGGACCCTGGTCAGTCATTTCGAAACGACCCGAAGGGCCATCTTCATTGGTTGATCTGCCTCTCCTCACGCACATATTTACACATACATGCGTATGTACACATACACACACACACACACACACACATATATAAACACAAACATTATCTATCTATCTATCTATATACATATATATATATATATATATTATATATATATATATATATATATATATATATATAGAGAGAGAGAGAGAGAGAGAGAGAGAGAGAGAGAGAGAGAGAGAGAGAGAGAGAGAGAGAGAGAGAGAGAGAGATGGTGAAGACGAGAACAAAAACAGTAGGAGGAGAAAGGCAAGAGAAGAAGAAGAAGAAGATAAAGAAAAAGAACACGGACGAAAAGAGGAAAAACTAAGAAGTCAAACCAAACGAGGAGCAGGAAGAGGAGAGATTAGAGAGCCCAGAGTAAAAACGCCAAGACCTCGTTAATATTACAGTTTTGCATGTCAGCCATCCCGGGGGACATCGACAAGGCTGGACACCATTAGCCGGAGCAGACGAATCGAAATCACGATCTGGACAGCTCGCAAACACATTTCCTTGTCATTTTTCTTTGCGTGTGTGTGTGTGTGTGTGTGTGTGTGTGTGTGTGTGTGTGTGTGTGTGTGTGTGTGTGTGTGTGTGTTGTGTGTGTGTGTGTGTGTGTGTGTGTGTGTGTGTGTGTGTGTGTGTGTGTGTGTGCCTGTAAAACTTACAAATATAACTCCTTGTATTTTTTGGGTGTGTGTATCTGTACAACTCACATACACAATTTCTTGTCATTTCGTTTTTTTCGTATGTGTGAGCGTATGTAAACCTCACAAACACATTTCCTTGTAATCTTTTTTGTTTGTATGTGTAGGTATCTGCATATCACAAACACAATTCCAAATAATTTTTTTTTACGTTTTTTTGTGTCTACATCACCGACGAACACGCGCCAGAGATGCCGTTCGCGCAGAGAGGTGAATCATCCGCGAACAGCGACAGTGACGCAACGAACGCAAAAGCTTAACGGGCATAAATATCGCCTGTCTCTTCTGCCCGTCGGCGAATGCGTGACTGTGAATGCGAGAAATGCGATAAAGAAGAGGAAGAGAAAAGAAAAAAAAGAGAAAAAAAAGAGATAAAGACTCGTTATCGGTACAAGACTTTACTGTCTAAAGAGGTACGAGAAAAAAAAATAAAAAGAAGAAAAGAAAGAAAAAAATGAAAAAAGGAAAGAAAAAAAATAAAGAAAAACACAATTATGCCCTATGCAGTTGCAATGCACGTGCACATACTAAAAAAAATCAAGAATGAGTCTTAGTTTAAAGTAAAGTCCGCATTTTTTTCTTCTTAATGGACTTAATACAGCTAGTCGAAGCAAAAATGGATCCACGCGGTTCAACTCTACGGACTTTGGACACCGGGTTTCACTGCGAAAATCGACCGTCTCATCAGAACCTTAATATTCACAGAGCATAATAATGTCATAACCTAAACATTCATTGTAAACCTATTGCATAATG